GTATATGTGTGTGGGTGTGCATTTGCATGTGTCTGTGCATGCGTGTGTGCATGTATATGTATGTGTGTATGGGAACGTGTCCAAATGATGGGGGTACCACTGGCATTTAGTGGGCAGGGGCAGGACTGCCGATGTCCTCCAACGTGTGGGACTGTCTTGTACAATTAAGAATTGTCTTACTCAAAAATGCCAGTGTCCTTGTTGGCAAACACAGGATTAAACATACACTTAACCCACACTAGTCACCACATGACTTACTGGATTGTACAGATGCATGAAATGCATCACCGCCCTTGAGGAGCTTTTTGTCTAGCAGTGGGTGTGGAGGAGATGCATCAACAACCTGGACACATGGTGAGTGTGTTCCGAGCGTAGGGTGAGTGTTCTGTGGTTTTCTTGGCAGGCTATGTGATAAGAGCTCCATCTTGCTGCTTAGAAGATCCTAAGCTCTCAAGGAGCTCTCAGAGGCAGTTGCCAACCTTTCAGACCTCACAGACCACACTGCTGTTTAGAAGATCCTAAGCTCTCAAGGAGCTCTTGGAGGCAGTTGCCAACCTTTCGGACCTCACAGACCACCAGCTGGCGATTGCTGGTCTAGAAGATGCTTTAATTAACAGACATTGTTAGAAGGCAGTGTGGTGAGTGCAGGATCAGAGTGTACAGTGGGGGACCTGCAACACTGGGGGCACTAGCCTGGTCTCCAGAGCCCTAGGAAGACTTCCTGGGAGAAAAGACATTGGAGCCAGGACCCAAAGAGCCAGAGGCCGCCACTATGTAAAGGCGAAGAAGAGGAGCAGGCCAACCACAGGTAAATAGCATGTGTTAGGTAAACTGGAGATGAGCAAGGCCGATCATGAAGCGACATTCAGAAAGCTAAGGGTTTTAGATAAATAAACCAAAAATATGCCACCGAGAATACTTTTGGTGGATTTTACAGTCATCGTTAACAAGCTTTATGGATTCATGTCAGTTTTGGAGGAAGGGTTATTCCATGCTTAGGAGCGTTATTCTGAAACGGCATCATAAAGCAACTATTAAACCAGGGCCTGGGAGTGCTGTGAAACATTTAAGGTTTGAAGCGGCAGAGTTACAGCTGTAATTTCTTTGTTTCAGATTACTTTCAGGAAATGCCAAATCAGGGTACTGCAATATCATTCAGGAAAATAATATCCCCAACGCTTCCATATGAATAACTAAAATAACACTAATTTATCAATCCCCAAATAACATCTTTTCCCTCATTAAATGGTCAAAGAGTACTCATTTAGAATAGCTGATTTGAGGTTTTTATACTAATATCAGATAACTTAAGTTTAATGATATTCATTTTTGGATAGAAACTGATACATTTTGCATCTAGTTATTCTAAGATGTATGATGATTACATTCCAAGATGTGTTACAAAGGGATTATTGAATAATGTAATGCTTCTCAAAAATTTGAAATACATTATGCCATCTGTTGACTTAGGGACATGAAGGTGATAGGAACCTTGAAGATGACAAGTAATCTCATCTTAACATTTCTTGGTTCTCAAAACGGATCCTATGTAAACCACTCCTGATTGAAGACAGTAAGTTTTGAAATGTTCAAAATAAAATCCACAAGCCATACATCCCAGAATAGCACCATAAAGACATTTCCCCCTTGTCAACCCAAATCCCTGATGTTTATGGTGATAAAAACAAATACCCAGCTGGCACTCACCCCTGTGACTAAGTTGCTCCTCATCTCTTTCTCCTCCAAGTTCAATAATTCTATTCCTTTTGCCTTTTCACTTAGGATTTCTCTTGCAAGTTGTATTTTTTAAATCAACATGATTCTTTTTGTTTTCTAACCTCCCCACAAGGACCCAGAATTGAAAGCTCCCAACTCACAAATGTGCTATTTTCCAAAAGTTTATTTTAAAGTCAGTAACTTGCAATTTGGAAATAGTTCCCCATAGAAACAATACTTTAAATGATGGTTAACTTTGCCAAGAGAGTCTACAAATGCTGAATCACTCTGGATGGGTAATAAAAGGTAATTGAAGAGTGCCATTGTGTATTAGTAATTAAAACAGAGACAGCAACCACAACAAAAAGGTTAGGGTTTATTATGAATACAAGAACTCCATGGACCTCTGTTCCCACAAGGATTTCATCTCATATATCCAATGGTACGCTGGTTAATGTTAAACAGCTGGCTCTCCAGTGGGAAAACCCCTGATTTTTAGTGTTTGCCTATTCCCATGGTGTAAACACTCATACCTCGGCTTATTTCAATCAGATGACATGATAGCATTAAATATGGACTGAAGAAGAGATGTTCACAATTGGTCTCCAAGCCTGTGAAATGCCTCCTACATATGCTCCTCTACTCCCCCAGCCTCTGACCCAGTTATTCGTACAAACCGTATGTATTGAGCCCCCCTCATGTTGGCTGTCTTAGTCAGCTTGGGCTGCTATAACAAAGTACCATAACTGGGTGGCTTAAACAACAGAAATGTATTTTCACAGTTCTGTTGGCTGTAAGCTCAAGATCAAGGTGGCAGCTGATTTTATCCCTGGTGAGGTCTCCTTTCCTGGCTTGCAGACAGCTCCCCGGCTTGAAGACAGCTGTCTTCTTGCTGTGTGCTTACATTATGAGAGAGAGAGAGAGAGAGAGAGAGAGAGAGAGAGAGAGAGAGAGAACACGCTCTCTAGTCTCTTCTAATAAGGGCACTAATCTCGTCACAAAGGCCCCGCCATCATGAATTTATATAAACCTAATTACCTTCCAAAGCCTCATCTCTAAATACCATCACATTGGGGTTTGTGCATCAACATATGAATTTGGGGGAAGACACAAGCATTCAGTCCATAATAAGAATTCCTTCCTTTGATCTTTGATTGTAGACAAATGCTGTAGTATTTGCTTATTCCTTTCTGCCTTCCAAAGCTCTCCTCTACCTCATCCCAGCTACCCCACATCCTGAAAGCTCTGTATAGCTTCTATAACAACTGTAACTGCTGGGTAGTTGACACTGAGGAAGCACAGGGTCACTGAATTCTTTTATGGCTCAATTCCATTGCCCAAATAATCACTCTCCTTAACTGCTTTTCAATTTATCATCTGGTAAAAAAAATGAGTTCTATGGAATTCAGCTCCTAGTGATGTTGGATATCACCTCCTTATAGGCAGCCCCATTCTGCATCAGGCCCAGCTCCTTCCAGGGCCATCTGCAAGGCCCAGCTCTGTTTAAATGTATTTCCCACTGTACTCCCAAGGCTGTGCAGTCCTAAAATATAATGTTTCTCTCCCAGCCTTACAATGGCAAAATCTGCTTTTATCCCCAAGTGCTCCATGCTGACTTTCCTCCTAATTTTTTTTATTCTGTTTGCTTGATGTTTTCTTCAATTTAATCATTTTAGACTAAGAGCACTGGACCTGGGATGGGTTAATGTTCACCTGTGCCTGTTCTGTTTCCCCAGGTGAATGCACAGCCATTGTAACCATGTTCTCACCATTCTCTCTAAAGATCAGGTGATTTCCAGGTCAGTTTCTATGTAAT